TCTAAACCCAAGACATAGATATGTGACCATGAAATAGAAGAAAACATGAGAATTCAGTTCATGAAAAAGTACCTGCATGCCATAAGAGCAATGTACCAGTTTCTTGGGTAATGCATACAATAGTATACAAAAATGCCAAAAACCTAATTTGATTTTGAAACAAAGTTTCTCACACTGTCAGTTATATGCCATGCATGATACACGCTTAGGCGATCATATATCTTTCAATACACGACTGATGAGGCAGTAGGTTGCCATTTCTTTCTGCAGTAGACCAGTTGCCACCCAAAGCTATAGAACCCAGTCTGTCCTGCTATTTACCCATAGCTGGGGGGAGAAGAAGAGAATTCATACCTTTCTCAAGAGTATTAGCATGTAAGTGAATGTAATGGATTCGACTGGAATTTGAACTTGGCTCTCCAATTCGTCAATCGAAGCCACTATCCATTATTCTACCATGCCTTCTCACACTGTATAAAAGTAAATACTGTAATTCTTATGCTTCTCTTTAATGTGAAAAAATAGCACTGAACAGAGTGATCAGCTTGAGGGTTTTTTAAAGAGCCAACTCTTGTTTTGCACAAAATGTAGAATTCATAGAAGAAAATTATGTGAAGAGAAAAATATTAACACTAATTCTTATATGTGCTGTGTTCCTTCAGGGCATTGGTGATCATGGCTCTCCACAATTTTCTGTCCTTTGTAGCTCTTAATAAACAAAGCTCTTTTTACTATCTCTCCTAAACCTTGCTCTTCTATTCATTTACTCAAGGTAGGTAGGTTATGCATTGTTTTCTTCTGTCCCTCTTGTCTTCAATCTGTCCTATGAGTTTAAAGTCCTCTTTCCTCATTATGTGCCCTAGAAAGTTCAACTGCCTATTCCTGATGTTAAATAAAAGTATGCTTTTAACACTAACAAAACTACTGAATGTTGAGATGTTATTAAACCACAAAATCTTAGTAATCAAATACATGTAAACTATTATCATTATTACTAAGATCCTATTAGAAGCAATAATAATAATAGCTGGCCACTCATATTTGAGGATATCCATCTGCTAGGGCACCTAGCCAATCCCTATTGCAGACGCTCGCTCAGGCACATTTGTGTTTGTTCAACACCCACAGAGCCCACCTGTGATTTATACTGCAACTATACTGAGCAGACCTTAGATACAGTTTCTGGGAGAGAGTGTGTTATCTAGCGTGATCAACAATCTGAACAAGGCTAGCACACTCAAACCCTCAGTCATGATGACTTGTGACTTTGTGCTAGCACAGCTATCAATGCCCCCAAATGTTCCATCTACCTAATTTCACTCACAAGACTTGGGTCAAACCGTGGTATGGTTTTCAGACACTTTCCAATGGTATCACATGCTGGGATCATCCCCTGTCCAGACCGATAACATCAGGAAGTCTCTTTCTTGACAAATCAACCATGGTGAGATTCGAACCCTGGATCTCATGGTCAGAAAGTGAATATTCTAACCACTTGGCCACATGCCCAAATAAGAGCAAAAATATAGTTATCTTTTGCTCATTAAGAAAACAAAAACATTTCTGTTATGAAAAAGTATTCACCAACTGCAACAATATGTTGGCCTTTTGTGAGAAATAAATCAACATGAGACTTTATTATAGCCAAGTAAAAGCAATTATTTATGCTGATTGTCTATTTATGAGAAGAGCTATTTTAGCGTGGCATCACTGTATGCAGCAGTTACGTCAATGAACAAATAAATAGTTAACAGAATATTAAGTCTAGATCTGGATTAACCTATTACCAAATGCTATGGTCCCTGTATTTTTTGAGGGCTCCATATTAAATACTTTTATGTTGTTGATCTGGCAATGTTAATGCTTCCTTACTTTCTGAACCTTTAATTATTCATCATTTCAGGTAAACTTATAGTGAGGCTTTTAAATCTACTCAAATAACTTATTAGAATAATTAGCCTCATATGTTTTCTGGGTTTGTTTATTTTGTTGATAGAATTCAAATGTTTATCTGTTTTGTAAGCTCTATGTCAGTAAATGATTTATCATTTAATATTTATATGTATTTTTACGACCTCTTTATAAGGGCACTAATTTAATTCATCCCTGATTAAATCCTCTATAATGCAACAACTTTTACCCAATTCTGTCTTTTGATTCTGATATAAAATTGATTATTTTAGTCAATGATTAACATTCAACCAAATAATAGCTGTTTTTGTTAAATAAATTTAGACATTGTTAATAAAAAAAACAAAAAACAATTTTTCTACACACCTGCATTCAAAATATATCCATTCAAAACTAGTTCTCTGAATGGCAATGCATTTGCTCTGAGACATGCACAGTCAAAAGGTAGATGCCATTTGAAAGGACAGTGGATTTTATTAAAAATATTAATAAATTGATTAGTGAAGCAGTTGAGTGAAGTTTGATGTGATGGTAATCAAATAGGCATAATATTTTTTATATATGAAATTAAAATGTTATTTGTCTTTCTCCATAAATACATAAATTAATAAAAAATTAAATCAATTTTAATTAAAACAAATTTTATAAAGAAATTAAAAGAACAAAATGTATAAAAAGAAAAATTATAACCAATATGAATTAATCAAATAAAATAACATATACAAAAGCAGAATGAAAAGTATAAGGCTGAAGTTTCCAATTTTCATTTCTGAATAGAAAAAGAAAAGAAATTGACAAAAGTTATTAAATAATAATGAATAAAGCCAACATGGTTTGTTTTCTAACTGTTCTATGGAAAAAAAAGCCCCAACATTTAACTTCGTCTGAGGTGATTACTCTTTTTAGACAATTTCATATTTAATGTTTACAAAACTTAGCATAATACAACACATTTTATTTCTTTGGTTTGATCCTTGGGAAACTGAAATACCTTAACTGAAAATGGAAATCTATTTTGTATAAAAAATGTTTTTGTTTTTATACAAGAACAGTCAGCAAACAATCCCATTGTACAAAAATAAAAATACATATACATGAAAAATTGCAGACATTAACAAATAAAAAAAACATTTAGTCTATCATGCAGAGCTTTTGAAAATAGACTGAACAACAAAATAAGGTCATAAAAAGAGGCAGATAAAATAAAAGGATTCTTTTTTATTCATCAATACTTTCGGGTTTTTTTTCTACTCAACATATCTTTCTTTAATTTTTCCCCACAAACTTTACTCATGAGAATTAAAATACCTTCTCAAAAAATTTGATTCGTTAACAAATAAAATAATTTCAGTTTGTTATTTGCAAAGGGTTTGCATTGTTTCAGGCAAAAGCGTTGAGGATGTAAGAATTTATTGTACTTTCTCTACATTCATCTTACTATTGACATAGCTTGATAGGAAATGAGAACTGAAAATTATTTTACTTAATTCCATATGAACTGATATTAACATAAAAGCAAGGGTTTATTCTACAAAATATAAAATTAAACATAATATATCAATGAGTAAAATAATGAAGTTGTTAACAATTTTAAAGCAATTCAATAAAAGGTTAAAATTTTTATATTTTTGGTTACAAAAAAAAAAAACTTTATGTAGGTTAGATTCTCCATGTTGAAAAAAAATATCAATATAATGTATCAAATGAAAAACTTTTGTTTTTTATTCTTATTAAAAATAAAAATGATTTTGAAAAATTTTCCTCAAGTAAGTGAAATAAAATTTTCTATCAAAAATATCTGGATTATATTTTCCATTTAAGATGTTTGAAATAAAACAATTTTACACTTAAAAAATTTGGAGGTGAAACAATTTTATATTTAAGATATTTGGAGCAAAACAATTTTTACTATCAAAATAACTGGTTTAAAAATGCTCTTTTGATAATATGTATTTTTAAGAATATTTGGATTTAAAAATTTTCCATTGAAAATTTTGAACTCAAAATGCTAGTATTGATAATTGAGATATTGTTTAAGGGTATTTGAAACTTTGAAAACTATAAGAGATTTATTGACAGAAAGACTTGAGTAAAATCTTAACCCAGGTTATTATCCAATATTTTGACACTACAAAAAATATACAAATGATATCCATGCAAAAATCAACAATAATACTAATGTATCAGGTCTTAATAAAAAAAGAATTGATAACAACAATGACGAATCACATCATTCTCACAAAAATAAAAAAATAATATGCTCATTTTGTTCTATAAAAGGCATCACTTTTAGTTATAATCATATTTTGGCTGTCAATTAAATAATAAAAGCAGATACAGTTATTTGGAATTCATGCAAATATAGTTACAATAAAATACTATACTAACATTTTAAAAAAACACAAAAATATTATAATTATTATACTCAATAATGTATTGCAACATTCTTAAATAATCATTTGTATGTAGAATATATATATGCATGCACATACATATTCTTCATTGCATATATATGTATATCTCCACATACATTCACATGCACACACACACACTATAGGCCACCCTCAGGATTGAATAATTTGTAAGCTTTATACTTTCTTTGGTTTAATTAACTCTTACTAAACTAGAATGCTGAAACTATTTAACTCATTAGTGTTTGGCATTCATAATTTTAGAGAAAGGATTACCTAAAATTTAAAATCAGTTAACCCTAAGATTACATTAACCAATCAGGTAGATTAGGCAAAAAGAGCTAAAATTTTAAGGAAATTTTCTGCAGTCATAGATTAATTTTGTTATTATTGAATAAAACCCTTCAGGAAGAGAAAATACCTCTGACCAGAAATGAGCTAGTAAATTAATTTTGAAAAAGAAATGCAACCTTAATTTTAGGTGAATTTTTGAAATTTAGAGGGTGATCACAAATATTTGGCCCATAGTATGTGTGTGTGTATATATATATATATATATATATATATATATATATATATATATATATATTAATATGAAAAAGTCTTGTGTCTTAGAATCATTTATTCAAACATTTAAGAATGATGTGAAGAATGTAGTGTCTTAATTTTGATACTTACATTGACTTCTGTATAAATAATATCAATAAAACTTCCCAGGACAATAATGAAATCAAAAACGTTCCATGCATCTCCAAAATAATTCTGGAAAATATAAAATATGAAAAAATATGAAGTCACATTGAAAATACAGTCAAAATTTTAGATTTAAGGATTTCATTTTGCTGGATATAAGAGTCTGTCTGCAATAATTAAATAGGAATTTTTTCAGTTTTGTAGCCTGTTGAAAATAATGAAAATATACACAAACTAGAAAATGTAAAGAAAATTTTAAAAAATTTTTGGTTAATTATAGATGCATAAAATATTTGAGCTATTATATTTAAGGTAGTTTTTTTTTAAGACTGTGTAGACAGAAAAACATGCCTGCTGTAAATGAATGTGTATTATTAGGTTGGCAGAGTACCCAAATTCACTTTACAGAACTTCCACCATGTAATTTTCAAAGAATCTACTGTTAATATCCTGATATCAGATGCAAGAGGAAACATTTTAAGGTTTTGCGGTGTTTATGCCTGATCAGATGGCCATAGATGACTGATGACCAACACTTCATTAGGCAAGTGGTAATCAGTATATCTTATAAAAATTTCGCAATATATATAAATATATATTCTAGAAAAATCTATAACAAAGTGGAAATTATTTTGTGTGTGATGCATTTGTCCTCCAGAACTTCATCAGACTAAGGTAATGTATTGATGTTATTACACATGCAGATGACTAAATTTTTGTCTTCCCTTTGTTTTTAGATGCTATGGGAACTGATTAGTTTTACATTCATTCAAAAAAATTGTTCCGTTATATTTGGATATTATTTTCTCAAAATTGGTATATTTTTCTTGATTAATTTTTACATTAAAAATTGAAGAAAATAAGCAACATTTTTTACATGAGAGAAGTTAAACTTTATCCAAAAAAGAATTAAAGCAACAAATTTCAAGAATTAGAATATTACAAATGAAATAAAAACTTACCTTGAACCTAAACGCAGCCAATTTTAGCATAAACTCAACTGTAAAAAGGCCGGTAAAAATCATATTCAAATAGTCAAGTACATTGGAATAACCTTCGTTTTCTCCATCGTACTACAATAGGAAAAAAATAAAAGATGTTTTGTTAATGCATAAAATAAAACAAATAATTTAGCATAAAAATGATCAGATTATTTAATTCTTCAAAATAAGTTTTGCAACCAATTTTCTAATTTTTTTTTAAACAGAAACCAACTTCCATACTTTTAATTTCTTGGTGTTTATATATATATATATATATATATATATATATATATATATATATATAATTGATTTTTAAAAATTCAAAAATATGTCATTTTTATCATTTTAAGTGTTATTTTTAGTGGATACCCATATTCGAGTAGACACTATTTCATTTTTAAAGAGTATTTTATTTTTGTCTATCAGAAATGTACATTTCTTCTTTAATAATATTTTTCAAATATTCAGGCTGGTAGATAAAAATAAAATACTGTTTAAAAATAGTGTCTATTCAAAGATGGCTATCCCTAAAAATAATGTTTAAATTTATATATATATATATATATATATATATATATATATATATTTGTTGTAGCATTGTAGCATACCTATGGATGATAATGGGTATGTCCCCATTCACATAAATACAGTAGTAAATACTGTATGTTGGTCTGCAGTTGGAGATTCATTGTGAAATTCACTTGACTCACTCCTAGCAGTTGACTACTACTTCTACATGCTGCTGGCAAATCTTATGTGTTGTTCTTGTCCTAAGCATTATCGTTCATTACCAACCTTTGTGTTATTCTATATTCTATATTATATATATATATATATATATATATATATATTATATATATATATATATATATATATATATATATATATATATATATATATATATATATATATATATATATATATATATATATATATATATATATATATATATATATATATATATATATATATATATATATATTATATATATATTATATATATATATATATATATATATATATATATATATATATATATATATATATATATATATATATATATATATATATTATATATATATATATATATATATATTATATATATATATATATATATATATATATATATATATATATATATATATATATATATATATATATATATATATATATATATACACACACACAACCAGTGGCATAACTTGGGTTGTCAGTGCCTGGGACAAGTATTACACCTACTGAACTATTAGGATTTGTTTTTGCCACTCTCCCCAACAAATGACATGACCACATAGAAAATATTAAGCATTTTCATTTAATTCCATTGTATTGACATTTATTTAAAATCACCTGATTTTAATTTGTGTGAAACTTTCAATAACATTAAAATCTCTTTCTCTTGACAGATTGTCATTTCTGATATGTTTTAAGTTCCAAGAAACTTCTTTTACAATTGGCCATTTAAACAGCAATGGTGTTAGTGTTTATTATTACTAATTTCTTTTGAAATTTTGCACTCCTTAGTATCATACATGTAGAGTTACTGCTCCAGTGGCACCTCCCACTTTATGTCAGTGCACATCACCCAACTAAATATATTATACAGGAATATTTTGAAAAGTACTACTCATTCTATCCCTGCAGGGTTGTACAGTTTCAGCTTTCAGTTCATGACCAGTACATTAGATTTACTGTAATATTTGAACTGTTCTGTAAGCCAGTAAATATGAAAGAGGTTTTATCTTAAGAATTCTTAAACTTCATTCATGAATATCTAAAATTCAAGTAGAAAGAATTATGCTTAATGGAGTTCTAAGTTAAATAATGATTTTATCATCAATGTTCACTTACCTTCATAGCGAGTGTGATAGTATTTATCATAATAAGCGCAAACACGGCATATTCAAATGGTTGGGAAGTAACAAACCACCAAACTTTGTATTGCCATCGAGCTTTGGGGATATAGCGTCTAACAGGTTTCACTTTTAATGCAAATTCAATACATTTTCTCTGGAAATAGTAACAGATTTAATTTAATTTCACTGAAGAATAATTTGCATTAAAAACAAAAAATAGCAAATCAAATGAAAAAAACAGATTGAATTAGTTTTATCTAAAATATAAAAGCATTTTAAAAAAGCTTTTGATTTCAAACATTTTAAAAAAATTTCAAACACATTTTAAGATGTAATATTTTTTGTAATATCTTGGTATTCAGAGTGGGTAAAGCTGGCTCTTTTCAAGAATTGTGTAGCAAGGTGAAACTAAAAAGTTATATGTATTATCTTGCTGTATTCATTGCAGAGTATCATGGGTATTTTTTTAAAAGAGGAACCCTAGTCCTTTAAAAGGAAAGATAATGGAGTAGTTTTCCTGTTGTCTCCATGATTTGAATGCAAAACTGTCTTTCTACTAGAGTGTTCCCATGCCAAGGCTAAAAAGCTAAGTCTGCTCTACTATTTTACTCATAGCTGTGGAGAGAAGAGATGTATTTATGCCTTTCTCAAGTACATCAGTGCAAAGGGAGCACAAAAGCCTCAGCTGGATTTTGAACTCAGCTGGTCATTTCTATTTTATGCACTGATATTTTGTTACACCAACTGTACATCATTTTAGAAGAATATTTTAAGAGGACTCATAATTCTTTTATCAATTATAATTGTAAGAATATATTTTAGTAATTTCTTTTTTTTTGACATTATTAAAAGAATATTTATTTTTAATAAAGCCCCTTTGCATTTTAAAATGATTCATATTATATAGTCTCTTTGATTTTGTAGCGTAATGCATTTAGAATCATTAAAAATTCTTGCCCAACTAAAGTCAATCAAATAAAAAATATTTGGATAGGAAATCAACATAAAAAAAATAAACTATTTAAATATTGAAATAATTATCCATATTTTCTCAACAAAATGATACAGATGAAACAGGTTTTAAAGTAAAACTTTAAGGTCTATCAAAATATAATTTAGCTTATTGTTTAACACTTCCAAAATGAAACCACTCTATTTTAACCATCACAGAAAAAAAAACAAACAATTTTACCTTCCATCAGCATGGCTGATACTAACCTCCAGAAAAGCAACTCACTGCATCTTCTTGGTTTCAACTTTTCCACTGATATGAAGTAGAGTGATTATATTAAATCAATTGTTTGGTCTACTACTTGGAATATTGGTTCATAGCGTTGTGCCAAACAATTCTTTTGCCAAAATCCATCTTACACATTTATAAATCTATACTATTCATCTGTGCATAGAATACGTAAATCTAGACTATTCATCTGTGCATAGAATACGTAAATCTAGACTATTCATCTGTGCATAGAATACGTAAATCTAGACTATTCATCTGTGCATAGAATACATAAGTCTACTATTCATCTGTGCATAGAATACATAAATCTACTATTCATCTCTGCATAGAATACTGCTGACATATCTGGTCTGGTGCTCCTATTTATCTCATGATTTTCAACAAAATCCAAAGAAGAATCTGTAATGTTATCTGTCCTCTTCTGGCATCTTAACTACCATGGTTTTCCTTTGGCTTTTCTACAAATGTTTTCATAGCAATTATCCTAATGAGCTCTCCTCCTTAGTACCTCATCTACATGAATTTAAACATACTACTAGATTGGCAAGTAGGTCTCAGTTCTGGGAAGAAGCCATCTGAGAGGAACTTGCTCCTTATCAAAAGAACACAAAGGGGATTATTTGCCATTGTGAACATAACATGGTGGGTCCTAGATGAGCTGGTAAAAGTAAGGAATATAACTCATCTGAATATCTTCCATAGTAATAACAACAAAGCAGAGGTTGGGAGTGAGTTTTAGACCCAGTAGGTGTTTGAGGCAAGGAGCATATATGACCACTCATCAGGATTGGTGAAAGTTTAGGATTTGCTTGGTGGTGATGAAATGTTACAAGTTTAGTTTTGGAGGTATTGAACAATACCAGCCAAGGTAAAGATATTGTCAAGATTGTGGACACTTATTTTCTGAAGGAATCCATTGAAATCTGCTACTGAAAGAGAGAGAAGTAAACAGAATTATGTCAATTGAATTTGAGAATGTGTACCTGATTTTTGTCCAGTTCGCAATTTTTATACTCTTGTTCACCCTCATTCTGGAATGTGACAATCACAAAACCAACAAAGATGTTGACCATGAAGAATGCAATGACAATAATGAAGACAAAATAAAAGATAGCTACAAATGGCCGATTGTCATGCACTGGTCCCATGCCTTCAAGATGAGAATCAATTGATATGTAGAGAAGCCTGGAAAGAGAAGAAACAAATGAGTCCATTAACAAAGTCATATCAGTTAATTTTTATTTTTGATGTTGATAGTGGTAAGATAAAACTCACCTATAGGGGAATTTTACAAGAAAGTAATAATTGTCTTGTACTTTAAGACAAATTAAACAGAAAAAAAAACACACACACACAGTTTTTTTTCTTCTGATGACATAAGTAAACATAAAAACGATAAGCAGATAGATAAATGAATAAAAATATTTAATTTGTGGAGGTGTTTATGAATGACTTCACAAAAAATTCATTCCCACATGTAGAAGTGGCTAGACACCAAAGAGCACAGTGTTTAAGAGCAGTAAAAGTGACCATATTTAGTGATATGAGAAATCATTTGAGGTGAAGTGATCTTTTAGCATTCCACTTCAGTTTTAAAATTCTTAACAAATCATTGGTTAAAAAATAATGCAATGCAATTACTATATGTCTTCTTAAAAAGTGAAAATTTGTGCAAAAAGTGGATAACACAGACCTTGCTATTTTTTTTTTTTTTTTTTTTTTAAAATCACTGATTGACTGAATAACAATAAATATCAAAGATGTCAACGCAATCAGGTTTTGCTGCCAATATTTTTGAATGGCAGGCCGGAGCCTGTCATGTGACAGACAACCAAATAAATAAGGAGCGGGACCATATCCCATCAGTGAGACAAAAGTAAAGTCAACCCGATACATCGTTGCCATGCTAAAGAAATTTAACTTGGATATTACAGTATTTTCCAGTTCTTCACCAGCGAGAAATTACTTAAAAGAAAAAGTTTTTTCCTGAAACTACAAGTTTACCAAACACATTTTCTGCTCTTCAGGACATAATTCAAGAAACATTCTCACTCAGTTCTATTTAACAAAATTTGCTCTTGGTGAACCCTTTTCTTTTAATGGCAAGATTTATTGTAATTATTTTCAGAAGTACAAAAACTAAATTTTATTTAGTATCAAGCAGAAACTTCTTAAAACATCAATATTCAAAGTTCTATTTTACCAAACACATTCTCACAATATTCATATTAAACAAAACATTTAACTAATTCATGTGACAAAAAAATTCTTTATTTCAAAGAACAATTTTTAAATAATTAATTTCCTAGTTAAGGGTAAGCAACTCTTATTTTTGCATTGTGAAATTTCTGTACCAAAAGACACTATTTTGAAGGAACATTTTAAATATTTTTATTTGTTCAATTAACTTTACTGAACTTTGAAACTCAGCTCAGCTAAATATTCTGAGCAGTTTATTCTTAATAATTGTATCATTTCTATATAAATATTTTGTTATTGTTTTACATATGTTGTCATCTTTTGATTGCCTTGTTAGCCTTGTGCCATACATCAAAAAATAAAATGTTTGTGGAGGAGTTAAGTTTTACACATGCAGCCGACCTTATGCGACTAAAAAGCCTTCTGATCACTTTTCAAACTTATTTCACCTTCTCCACAACAATCTGATTAAGGACCAGATATCAGGTCAGAAGTAATTTGGTCTGACCAAATGATTCTAGCTAATAAGGAAATTCCAGAATTAAAAATATAACCTGAAGGATTCATGAAAGTTATGTCATTGTCTGAAAACCTAATATAATATGGCTCAATTGGATTTCTTACAGTTATGAGCCACATGCTAAAGGGACTGTGTCATTTTGGTTTTGTCATTTTCAATTCTGTCTTAGGTGTCAAGACAAAGAATACCTGACCAACTTTCTCAGTATAGTTTTAATAATCTACATGGAAGAAGGAAAATTCAATAGAAAACCTCTCTACCATCATCTCTTTTTTTCTTATCATGGCACATGAAACCCTGGTTTAAAGTGTAGGATGAGTAATGCACATTCTGTACTTGATTTTAAACATTCACTAGTGAAGGTCCATATCTTCTGTAATCCTCATCATGAGAGAGCCTGCAACATCAGGTATAACAATCTGAAATCTGTATTTGTGAAGTCAAGCCATTATATAGGCTCACCAGAAAATAAAGGCAACAGAACCAGTATTTTCCCAAAACTAATATGACAGTAAATTAGAAATTTATAAATAATACTAATATTTAATTATAAGAAGTTACAATACAATAAATCTACACCACAACAGACAGTTTATTTAGATTTGGATAAAGTGTAAATGATGTATTGTGTTTTGTAATAATAAAATACAAGAATCATAATGCCATAAGCTTATAAGAAGAAAGGCAGAATGAATAAAGAAAGAAAGAAAAAAGAAACAAAAAAAGGAAACAAGAAAAAGAAGAAACAAAAAAGGAAACAAGAAAGAAAAAAGAAGAAACAACAAATGAAACAAAGAAAAAAGAAGAAACAACAAAAGAAACAAGAAAGAAAAAAGAAGAAACAACAAAAGAAACAAGAAAGAAAAAAGAAGAAACAACAAAAGAAACAAGAAAGAAAAAAGAAGAAACAACAAAAGAAACAAGAAAGAAAAAAGAAGAAACAACAAAAGAAACAAGAAAGAAAAAAGAAGAAACAACAAAAGAAACAAGAAAGAAAAAAGAAGAAACAACAAAAGAAACTAGAAAGAAAAAAGGAACAATAAAGGAAACAAGAAAGATAGAAAAAAGTAAATAAGGTACAAAGAAGGAAATATGAAATAAAGGAAGAAAGGAAAAAGGAACAAAGAAGAAATCAAGAAAATGAACAATGGCCAAGAGAGCAATGTAACAAGGTAGAGTGGAAAGGCAATGAATTCTCTCAACTGCAGAACATTTTATATGTATTGATAGGCTTCTGGATTGACTTTCAAAAACACATATGAGAAGTGTTAAAAACAAATAAAAATCTTAAATAATTTTAAATCAACCAAATAAAAAATGGTAAACTGATGAGAGAATATAATTTGAAATTTGACATGGATTAAAGTCATTTCATGAAGAGCCTACTAACCTTCTGTATTTGATAGTATATAAAATCCTTGCCTATCTTAGGAGGGAATATTAAACAAACATTGTTGGACAGTACATTGATTATTACAAGAATGTTCAGCTTCCTATTTCTTTACATGCATTTGTAATTAGTAATTTATCAAGTTCTAATATTTTGGCAAAAAAGTACATTTTGTATGTTATCTGTATAATATTTTCTTTACTGACAATAATGTCAGTAAAAACAATAATGAATGCAAAAATTAATGAAGTAATAAATGCAAAAATTTACTACAGCCAATATCAACCAAAACAAAGGCTGGCATTTTGAATTGTGCAAATAAAGGAATGGTAAAGATGTTCTTGATTACTAAATGTGGAAATAATAGAATACAAAATGAAAACTTACTGGGGCCACCCTTCAAATGTGGATACTGTAAATAATGTTAACATTGCCATGCTGACATCATCGAAGTTGAAATTATTATTTGTCCACTCTCGCGTCTGAATCTCAGGGTAATTTATATCGCCATTTTTATAGACTATAAAATGACCCCTGTAAAAGAAAACAAAAAATGTTTGGTAGTTCTACAGAAATGAAATAAAATGAGATGTTTCTGTAAACTATGATATCACAGGTAGGATTTATTAGAAAATTATTTCATAACTTTAATTCACTTTAATCATTAGTGACATATTTAAAGATATAACAAATACAGGAAAAACATTAAAAACTAACAGATGCCACAATTTTTCATATTACATTTATCCTGTGAAAAGATATAGAGAATGTAATATTAATTCAAATATTAAATAAGCATTGATTTATTTCAAATATTAAATCATTTTATACTTTCAAGTATTAAATAATCATTTAATAATTTCAAGACATTAGACTTAATTGTATAAGAATCCAACTTGGAAAAGTTACTTAAATAATTTTTTGATGTAATGATTCTTAATTTTGAAAATTAAAAGCTATTAATAAAATGTTTGACACAAGATTGACTGAAGTGAGTCATATAAATCTTTTTAACTAAAGATGAAAATACAAACACTAAAAAGCACAACATTCAATCTATGTAGAATGCTAAGAAAAAAACCCAGAAAGGTAAATGAACTCACTGGCATTCTTCCATGGTTCTTTTTGAATTATCTGAACATTTGTGGAATGTTCCCTACAAGACAAAAATAAATAAACATGAATGTCATCACAAAATGAAAATGGAAAAAGTGGAGATGTCATTTCCTTTTTATGAATGCTTAAAATAAAAAATAAGCCTAAAAATCCTGATTAGGAAAAAAATTGTTGATTTTTTTTTTTAAATTGAATTTATCCCAAGCAAGGCAGTAAAGCCACTAAGACAATACTGGGTATGAAAGAATTAGAAAACAGAAAACATAAAGGAGCAAGAACAACCATTAGTAATCAGGAAGACGGTAGATAATGAATGATATTGTATTTAAATTTTTTATGATCAAAGTTGATCAGAAAGCATGGAGCTAGAAGAGAGTTCCACAAGTGAGAAGTGCGAGAAAAGAAAAACTGTTAGCATAGAACTTATGGTTATATATAGCCAATTTAATCCGTAAACACATGACAGAAATAAATTTAATAAATTGGTTTTTACTCCCTGCAGTGTTTCTTCTATTCTAAAATTTTAAAAATTCATCATTCCTTATTAACTGAAAATACACATTAATAATTTGTTGATTGATTATTTCTATAACTGAAGTCATTGAGGTGCTATACTGAGTTCTTCATCTCAATAGTAAGTTTGATTATTTGGCAGTACCCATATCTTCTCCAAGAACCAAAATTAGAAATGAGGGTGATTTGATAGCTAGAGCTTGCCATACTATATCCACAGAGCTGAATTATCCTCATTTCCTTTGTATTCCAATTGTAAGGAGAAATGTCTATTCAAACAGATTTTTCCCAAGAATGACTACTTTGTGGTAACAGATATCTGCATGGATGCTCCCATGGACACTACACTCATAATGTCTTCAAATCAAGGATTAATTGTTATCTAGCTTCCTTATCCTCATAATCTTCACTTTCTATTAATTTCTCTTACATTCATGTCATACACTTTGTTCAGCGGCTCTCGAGCCTTATATCGGGTGAATTTTAAAAAAAACTAAAAAAAACTTAGATCATCATAAGCCACAGGAGCATAGAACAATTACAAATTTAAAAAAATAAAATAAAAATCTGACATAAATTTTCAACAAGGACTCTTCAAGCTTTATCTAGCTTAAGGTCACATCAAGTTTAAATCCTGCACTCTAGTGTGTCAAAAGTTATTGGTAGCAGTATGTAACAGTAATGCTATGTAGCAACACCATATCTTGACATAGAAATGCTCAAACCAATATTAGTTGTGTTCTGAAATTTGGTGTCACTGTGTTCTTTGGCTAGGCTACTTAGGACAAAAGAATGTGAATTATTGGAGTTTCAGAAGGGCATGAGGTGCCAGAAAGATGGGATATTTTATTTCTGAAATTGTAAGGGCATTGATATCCCTCAATCTACAGTGTCATGTAATGGTAATATTAGATATTTCCTTATAAGTAAACAATCAGCATTGATTGAGCAGCCAGTGTTGCTTTTGGTTGAAATTTATGACTTCTTTCACTTAAAACAATTTTTCAAAGAAAATAAGCTTCTCCAATCTGGTAGCTGTTATTGCTCTTTCCAGTACTGATTGGGGCTTCTCATTTTGCCGCATGTTTGAGGTAGTGTAGAGCATCTGCATCTTCATTATATCATCATTTTGTGTTACATGTGATATCGATTTTAGTTGGTATTGCAGCTGAAATCCTCAAGTGATATGGTTTCTGTCATCTGGTATAGTTCTTTGTGATTCTGTAATGCTAGTCCATGAGGTTTGAAGAAGTATAATCCTCACTGAGACGTACACAGCTCACTTACCCAAAGCCATTTTCAACCATAAATCTGAGAAAGCAGTTGTATACAACTGACAATTTGGATATTTCTGAATGAGTTTGACACCATTCACAGGCTCAATATGAAAATTTCAATCTGATGAGACTATTTAAGAACATAACTAGTTTTAAGGTTAATGCTTTGGTTTTGTACCAGTGTTGGCAAAAGTACCCCTTGCACAAATTCCTTATCTCCTATATTAAATTTGTTATAACTAATCCATCCACTGAAGTATTTTGCTAATTCCACTTCTGGAATTTTCATGATAGTCTCAGGGTAGGTACCATTCCACTTCCAAAACATCAGTTATGTTTTGGAAAGGTTTATCTTGAGTCCTATTTTTTTGAAAACTTCTTAGAAGGATGTTGATTTTTTTGGTTCAAAATCCTTATTCTAACTATGAATATGTGGTGTGGGGTCTGATGAGTCACAGTTCCAGTTGTTTTGGCTGATGGTAGGATTAGAGTGTCATGCAGACCCCATATGGCCATAGACTCCACTAGACAATGTTACACTCTGTTGCAATTAGATCTCATTCTGATTCATTCTGCACACTGGCTGGATGTGAGCACCACAAAGGCAGAAAATGAAGTAACAAAAATCGTTTTTTGAGCATTGGGCTCCATGCATCACATCCAGTCTATGAAGTGAGCTCTGGTGGTGACCAATCGTGAATGTTCCCACCAGTAAAAGAGACACCCCTGGGGATTACCAGACCTGATTAAAAGCAGGCTCTAAGAACAAACAGAAAACAGTTGTGGCTGGTGTGGCTGTTGGCCATCATGCAGGGTGATACTGCTGCTGCCACTGCCATGACCTCATCACTATGACAACAGAGTTGTGGACTGGTTGTCACGTGGAGCATTACTACTGCCACCACTCAACATGACCGCATATTTCAATGACCATTACCACTTCCTGGCTTGACCAACCACTTCAGCTATCCAGTTTCGACTCGAAACATCTCAGCCTCCACACAGTGGAGCTATCCAGCTTCAACTTGAAACATTTCAACTTCAATTTCTCCCAGCTACAAGCCTTCATCGATACCAACCACCAGCGTCGCCTTGGCCTACCTCAACTCGTTTACAAGGCATTCCCTTCAGTCAATACCAGCAACCTTAGTTCCACAGAACAGGCCTACCAAACCTGGTTGTCACTTTGGCTTACCTCAACTTGTTTACAAGGCATTCCCTTCACAATCGACAAAGTGACCTTCGTTCCACAGAACAGGCCTGTCAACACCCACCGTTGCCTCTGTCTATCTCAACTTGTTTACAAGGCATTCCCTTCAGTCAACACCAGAAACCTTCCTTCCTCAGAACAGTCCTACCAAACCCAGCTGTCACCTTGGCCTACACCAACTTGTTTACAAGGCATTCCCTTCTCAGTTGACCTTTGACCCACAGAACAGGCCTACCAACACCCACCGCTACCTCAGCCTACCTCAACTCATTTTCAAGGCATTCCTTTCACAGTTGACACCAGTGACCTCCATTCCTCAGAATAGACCTACCTTGACTCATTTACAAGGCATTCCCTTTACAGTCAACTGGAACAGGGCTACAAAGACCACACCAATCTGATGTCAGTCCAGTTAAACACAACAGGTTTACCAATCGACAAGACGACTTATCACCATGAACTTGATCAGTCAAACATGCACTGACCATATCCTATGACCTCGGCCATGCCAACACAAGAAATGGTTCAACTCCCAATACTACACTATTCTTGTACTCCCAACCAACAACAAATGTTGTTTCACTCTAATCCTTGTTATTCTTTTCCCTTACTACCAAACACTTAATATAACATCAACAAGGCACTGTACAGACTAATGGTGGTTCCATAATGGTGTGTGGCCTGTTCATGTAGCATGGGTTGGGTTCTGCCTAAACACATCATTGATTGGTGATGACTATGCTGCACTGCCAAAGTTGCTCAAAACTGGCTAACTCTGGAGACTTCTGACATAAGCTCAACTGAGCATTTATGAGATATGGTGGGGGGAAATAATGGTTTAGTGATACATGTCCTACTAATTAACACATAGCTTGGGGGGGAAGAAGTGGAGTCATACCTTTTCAAAGGGTATTTGCACTTAAGTGAATATAACAAACCCAACAGGAATTGGAACTCTGTTCTCTGGTTAACAATTCCAAACCTTTATTTATACACCACCCACACATCTAAGCTTACAGTGCCTGGTATTCTCAAGCACTCACCCATCTAGGTACTGACCAGGCTTAACATTTCTTAATTTCATTGATCATCTGGGAACCAATGTTTCACTGTAATGTGGCTGTAAGCGCCCCCTCTCTCTCTCTCTCTATATATATATATAAGGTTAGTGCCCCACCAAGTCTAAATCTAACACTGTATTGAAATAACATTGGCTTCCATACTACCAGTTATTGGTTGGTTACATGAATGAGATACTCAGAGTACTCTGATTGGTCCTTCATTGAAATTCTAGGACAAGAGGACATACTTGAGATAACCTTTCCAAGTAATAGTACAATTAGTACTGGCTATGTATAGTTCTGTGGCAGTGTAGATCATCAGTGTGCTATACTGGGTAATCTCTAAGGCAAAGGGAGCTTCTTTACAGTGCTTATCTCTTAAAGTAAAAGTAATATGAGGAAGTTAGTATTGGGTCTAAATGTAACCCATGACAGGAAAAAATCTCTGCCTACAGTATTAATGTTTACACTACAATAAAAATCTAACTTCAAAGAAATAATTGCACTATAAAGAGTTTTCAAAAGTTAGCTTTTGTCACTTATTAACCGATTTATGATAGAATAAATAAATTTGCCTTCATCTGCATATTTTTTCTGATATTTGTGTCCTGTATAGAAAAGAATTTTAACAAAATCTAAGTTGCCCAAGGATTCTAGAAACATGCAGCTTGTTTTGGATTTTTAAAAATCTTTTTAATTAGGAGTTTACAAATTGTTTTTATTTATAATCTATATAACAAATGCAAATGTCAACTTAATCCCTAGAGGCAGTAATCCAACATATACCATTTTGGAATCAGGCTAACTGAGCAAATTAAAAACATTTCAGGCCTGATCTGGACCCACAATCCTGAAATTTTGGATTCTCAAATTTTCATTACTGTGATTGTTTTCAGATTCTATCATCTTGGCTTCTACTAATAAAAACAAATTTTGGATTCTCAAATTTTCAATAGCTCATGTTCACTAAAAAAAAAAATTTTGTTCTCAAATTTTCAGATTTTGATTGTTTTCAGATTCTCCTTGGTTTTAATAAAACAAAGGGACACAACCTAAGGTTCAATAGCTCATGTTCAAATGAAAAAATTACCAAATTACAGATTTTCAAAATAAAATTACCATTTTGGAATCAGGCTAGACTGTATCAACCTATAATACCATTTTGGAAAAACATTCCAGGTAAAAAGATCCAGGTCAGATCCAGACCCACAATCCTGAAATTTTGGATTCCCAAGTTTTCATTACTCCGATTGTTATCGGTGATTATTTTACATGATTTTTTGCAACAAATTTTTTGTAAGACAACAATATTTATAACTGGGAAATAAATTTGGGAATAATCAAAATTAATTGCAAAACTTACCTATGTACATCAAAATTGTCTTTAAGTGGCAGCAGAAGACTCATCATTGAACTTTTAAAAGGTAAGCTTAGATATTAATGCAATACTTAAATGCAGCAATCAATTTTGAGTTCTTCTGTAGTTTATTGTTGTCTATTACACCTACTCTTCCCTACCTATTGTGATGAAGGTCCAATCAAGAGCCCTCCACAGGAGCTAGCTTTAAAGCTGCCTGATAGGGTCGTTTTTAAGGTAGTTAATAATATTTCCTATTATGCCTCAGTTTAAATCCTTAACTGTGAGTGGCAAAGACTTCTGCCCTTGCAGTTTTGTGGCCAAACTGTTAGTGAACAATCTACATTATTTAATGGATTAAAAATTGTGATATAATTCTTATTTTTCTAAGATTATGCAACCAATAAAAGACAACAGAGATTTGATATTCTTTGATTGAAAAGTTACAATTTGCATTCCAAATACAAATGCTTCAGAAACAAACATATTCATACCTTAAATAGTTGTACTCCTATGACTGCAAACATAAATTGCAGCAACAGTGTGACTAACATAATGTTACCAATCGTGCGGACGGCTACAATCACGCACTGTACAACATGCTGAAAAGAGAAAAGAAGAAAAAAAACACAATATTTATTAATAAGGTATGAAAGTAATTGATAATCATACCAACAAAATGTTAAAAAAATTTAAATTTCATTGTTTCAGACATTTATATATATTTTTATCCCAGTCAGATGTAAGACTGTCAGGACCCAACTGAGAATGGACTGTTTAAGAAAATGAGACAATGAAAATAAAAAGTTGACATGGATGGTGGTTAACAATCCATACATACATAGAAATCCATGTTTTTTTTTTTTTATTATGATAGGGCTAAGATTAATCTTGCACAAAGCAAGGTAGATCCTACCTAATCTGTCACAATGATTTGAGGCAAGTTTTTACAAGGCTGGATGAAAATTAAAATCTATCAAAGGGTGGGTGAACTCCAAATAAATGGCCAGCTAGCTACAGTTGATGCTTTGATAAAATTACCATATAGACAGTAATGGAAATCAAGAATAATTATAGGAATTTACAAATATTGGATGTCATGAGTCAGCTCCCTTGAAACTGACTCCTCATTTGTTAAGGAGAGACACCTACAACAGGTATCATACGTAAACTAAGGGTAAAACTACAAAAATTAAAGAAACCCAAAGCAATACTTAAACTGTAATATGATGAAACGCCACAGCAATTCCATTGCAAACAAACATATACAGTTACATTAAAAACAGCAACTCTAAAACTTTGAGAGGAACTCAAAGGGAAACACTAGTGACAGCAATAAAGAAGTTATACCAAAGGAAGAAAGACAGGGAAAAAATTAGATGACAAGTGAAATTCTCAGTCTAATGAAAAAGAGGCAGCAGGTAATGCTAAGAAACAATGCAGAATAAACACAAGCAAGCAAAAGAGGAATGAATCAATAAGAGTGCAGAGATTGAAAACTTCAGAACAGAGATATAAGAGGCAAGTATAAAAAGATAAAATAAATTGCATGGCAGATAACATGTTCTTTGGCAGGATTAGTAAAATCTAAATAGGGGGTGTAATAGAAAAAGAAAAGGCATTATAGAGATGGAATGAATACATCACAGAGCTCTTTCATAAAAAGAGGAGAGAAACATACAATACATAAAAACATTGAAGAACCCATAGCCTTAAAATCTGACAAGCTCAGTATTGGCAAGATAAAGAGAAACAAAGTAACATCATTGATAAGATTGTAATAGAAATGCTGACAGCCTTAGACTATTTAAGTATTGTTAAGTTTACTGAAGTGATGAAATATATGGCAGTGGTAAAATACAAAAAGATTTCAGTCAGTCAATCTTCATATAACTGCCAAAGAAAACAGGTGAATTCCATAAAATTTGATGAGCCACATAACTAAATTAATCATCAGAATTTTAATAAGAGTTTGTGGTAGAATTATATTAGAAATAGAGCAGGAATAGTGTGTCTTTGTTTAAGAGACTGGAACAAGAAATGTAATTTTATCATCAGAATATTATCAGAGTGAGCAATATAAATACAGAAAAATCTATACCTATGATTCATAGTTTGCATAAAGGCATTTGGTATATCATGAAGAACTTCTTGAAATATTAAGAAAGCTTGGTTTACAGAAAATTAATTCAAGTAATCTGTAACTTTTGCTGGAAACAAAAAGCTTGTATCAAATAGAGAATGATTTTAGCAAGTACACAATAATAAAAAGAAGAATATGACAAGGATGTGTTTTCTCACCAAATTTATTTAAGCTGTACTGCAAGACAATCTAAGAGGAATAGAATACCTATCAGGATTTATTATCAGTGGACATAACCTTAATATATGCCACACAAAGGACACTGTGTTCATTCATAACAGATTCAGAGTTGAAAGAATTGTTGGACAAAGTTGTCAAAGAAAGCAAAAATAAAAAGTTAGCCATTATATTTAAGAAGATAGAATGCATGTTTGTCAGCAAAATAGACAAGGTGTAAATCAATGGTGAACTGGGATACTGGGAAATTTCTTGGTGGGCCCCAAAGTGATGGTTCATTATTTTAGAAATAACTGAAAAAAAAAAAAAAATTGCATAGATGCTGGAAAGATTTAAATAAGGCTTCTTTGATGCTATAATTTCTTTTGGTAGATAATAGATATCCTCAGTTCCTTGTTTGATGAAGCATTTTGGGATTAAGTGTGTACATTTGACTGGGCCCTTTTATAAGTTTTCCCGGTAGAAATTTTTGACCCATCCACCACTGATGCAAGTTACATATTGATAATATTAAAATCAAGCTACTGCAGAAATTTAACTAATGTAGTAACATTATAGAAAGTATAACAGAGTAATTTAAAGTCACATAAAAATAACAAAAGATGTATTTCAGAAACTAAGCAAAGCATTAAGAAGTCAGAAAATGTCCATTAGAAACAAAGAAAAGAGTGCTGGACTGTTATGCAATATCTAATCTTCTATAAAGTAGTGGATAGGATACTGGATATCTCCAACGCAGATAAAGAGACTTTGAGCAAAAGACATATTTTCCTACCTACATGGTGAAATAGGGCATAGGGGAAACAAGAAAGTTCTAAAGAGATACTGTAAAGAAACTGTTGCTAACAATCAGAAAGAGTCAGTGGACATTTTTTGAGAAGATAGACTTTGAGAATTTAACACACAGAGCATAGGGAAATTAAAAAGAGGAGAAATCTACTTGATGAATCTCAGTAAATAGATTGGCAAAACAAGGACAAAGAGAGATGGTAAAGAAGCAACAAAAACAAAAAGGTTTAGGACATTTGCATATAAAAATGATTATATGTGAACATAAAACATTTAGCTTCTAGAATTATACATAAAAATAAAATATATTCAAGCTTTTATGAACAGAAATTCAGAGGGAAGTGATATTATTCACAAATAAGCACAGTAATTTTATTCCAAGTCTACAAACATAATTGTAATAATAATATTATTATCTATAATACTCATAATATCATAACAATGTTCATGATGTAAAATTTATGATGTTATAAGATTAACATATAAACTGAAAAGGAATAATAATACCTGATAAAGTCATATAAACTTATTAAAGTTCTAAAATTAACACAAATATGAGAGGATGTTTGACCAACATCAATTTTTTTTAAGTCAAAAAAAAAAAAAAAAAAAAAAAAAAAGTCTTATATTTGATGGATCAGATTTTGAGAAGTGGATCAGACTGATTGGTCAGATTTTGCAAAGTGTGACTCACTGAGAAGCCTCCAGTTTTAAAAATTATTTCCTAAAGAGAATTTCAATATTTTATATAGGGTATATTGGTTGAGAAAATTAATCTCTACAAATTAATATTTTAGAATAATTTCCAGAAAATGTATAAATTAAAAAAAGTATAGATTGAACCATTTAGAGTATATTGTAAAGTAATATGCATATAATACTGGGAAAATAAATATCTTCATTTTGAATCAGTTGTTTCCATTTTTGATCATCTTTATTACAATCAAAGTTTCATATCAAGTGTAAATGCTTAAATAAATTACTGGATATTTTTTAGTGGTCAGCATATTTGAAAGATTATTTTTTCTCAGGAAAACCTGAACACAACCTAATTATTAAAAAAAGCATTGTGTTCATATTTGGATTTGGTTGAAGGGAAAAAAAAGGAAGTATTCAGAATTTCCATTTTGTGTTCATGTGAAAAGCTCAGATAAAAAATCGACATTTGTTAGTTTTACATTTATTATGAATAAATAAAACTTTAAAATTACCTTCAATCCTTTTGCTCGGTTGATAGCACGCAATGGTCTCAACACACGGAGGACCCTCAAAATTTTTACGACTGATATGGCTTCATTGCTACAAAAGAGAATAAGTTATGTAAAATAAAATTGCTGTCAAAGAGAGACAACTCTAGTTGCCTGTAAACAGGCAAGAAGATTTTCGTTGGCTTATCATAAAATAAATCGATTGTTATGAGTAAATTATAAACATATTCAAGAACTAAAAATGTACATATTGCAAAAAAAGATGAGTTGGAAAAAATCAATTTGATATATCATATATCAATTTAATTTTGATTCATGTTAATAGAAAGAAAATAGAAAACCTGTGAAATTACAGATACAAGTTCTGTTGTCTAATAATCTGTTAATCCAACCAACATTTAATTATTCTTATTTACTATTTGTTTCTGTTTCTGTCAAATTCATCATGCACAAACAAGTCTAGTATCATAGTCATTTTGTGAGAGGATTGATAGAATCACAAACAAATAGTATATGTGAATATAAAATACTTTGATTAAATTTTGGTCAGATGAAAAGAAATTCAAAGACTTTTGTAGCTATATAAATAGAATAACAAAAAAATTTTTTTAAAAAACTTAGTGTGAAAAAACAGTTGAAATGATTAAAGTTAGATTTATTGTTGTTTTTAGCAGACAACAAATGACAAATACATTTGTACACAAGCACACAACAGGCATTGTGCTTATCTACCAACTTCTCCTGTGTGTGCCATGCAGGTTGAATTCTTAAATAATAAACATTACTCAATAATGCAAAATACTATCTCTAAATGAATTATAAAACCATGCACCTCACTTTCATCAAAGTGACAACCAATCATCATAGTCAGTTCTAAGTAACTGATACCTTTTGAATATAAGGTTAGTTTGGTTAGAAAGTAATATCACATTTTGAGGAGGGCAAATGAAAGGTAGCAATAAATATGTATAAATAAATGTGAATGTCAGTGTATTACACCTTTTCAACTTTACTCCTAGAGGTCGTAGCCTAACATATCATACCATTTTCGAACCAGGCTGACTCTGTGAGCAAATTAAAAACATTTCAGGCTGGATCCAGACCTGTAATCCTCAAATTTTGGATTCCAAGTTTTCATTATTGCAATTGTTTTTGGTGATTTTTTTATGTGATTTTTTGCAGCAAATTTTTTTTGTATGATAATATTTATAACTTGGAAATAAATTTGGAAATAATTGAAATTAATTGTGAAATCCTGCGAAAGTCACTCATAAAATAAAAATAATTGTTTGTATGGAAAGTAAGGATCTACGTACATGAAATTGTCTTTAAATTAAGTGGCAGCAGAGGAATTATCATTGAACTTTTGAAAGGTAAGCTTAAATATTAATGCAATACTTAAATGCAGCGATCAATTTTGAGTTCTTCTGTAGTTTATTGTTGCCTATCGAATACAGCATCAATATGCCTATCACAAAGAAATCTCTGCCAACAGAGGACCAGATTGCAATCAAAAGAGCCAAGGCTGCAGTGAGGAAAAGAAAGTCCCATGCAAATGAAAACCCAGATCAAACGGCAGCCAGGAGAGCTTCCAATGCTGAGAATATGCAAAGACTTAGACACTCTCAAACTCCTGAACAAGCCAAAGGCCCAATCAAGAGCCCTCTGCAGGAACTAGCTTAATTGCTGCCAATAGGGTGGCTTTTAAGCTAGTTGAAAAATATATTTACATTTTGCTTCATTTGAATGGGGTTTTAATCCTTCAATGAAAATGTAAGATTACTTTCTGAATAACCACATGTTTTCAAAGGGAAGGGGGATGCTGAGAATTTTAAATTAAAAAAAAATTTAATTCACAGCATCTCACTTTCCTTGCCTAGCCTAAATGGAGAAGGATATAGTGTTAGATTTAAAAAAAAAAATAATAATTTGAGCAGAAGAAGATTTGCTGAAAAGTGGGAAATTATCAAATCAGGATGCTTTGCTCTTCTACTGAAAACTAAAGTAAGCATGCATTCATTTCAAACCAGATGGTATGAACAGATTGATTGGTTATGTGCAAGTGCATCAGAAGAAAAACTATATTGTTGATCATGTCTGCTTTTTCTTCCCTAATCAGGTCAATTGTGAACCAATGGCAGTTAATTATAAACACATTCTAATTGACAGCAAGCCTCATTTTAAATTTATGAGTCCTTTAAATAATTAAATCTGGTGTATGTGATGTGATAACTGCTATTAGTGAGTCTTCAAAGCTTGAAAAAGAATGGCATAACAAATTAGTTGAAGAAAATAGATAGTATTTAAAATAATTAGTAAATGCTGCATTATATTTTTACAGATGGACACAATAAAGCAAAAGATAGCCTTAACAAAATTCATTTGCATCAAGAATACCAAAGAAAGATATGTACCTTTTTCAGGAGTTTCAAGTACAATACAAAATTATATTATATTTGCAACTGGTAACATAATACATAGCTGATGTAATTTGAACTGAAGCTGAAAGTGTACCATTTCAGTGAAGTTGGTAAAATGAAATTAGTGATTGTGCAATGTATACCCAACTCTGTTATTGTTAGACATATAACGAGATGCAAAATAAATGAAAGATTTTTAAGATCTAAGTAATGATAAACTTGCATCAAGATTGACTGAAATGATAGAAGATTTTTTAAACTCTTTTAGTGACCCTAACATTAAATTGGTTAACCATATATACAATGGAGTAATTGTACTGGCAGGTGATTGAAATGAACTACAAAAAAAGAAAAAATTGATGAATAAAAGGTTTAAATAAAATGAGTTCATTCACTTTATGCATATAAACTTAGTTTTGAGTAAAAGTGCTGAGGAAGTTAATAATGGCAAAATGTCTTTCTTGTATTTATGCAGTTTTAATAAATATGCATGTTTAATTATAATGCAAAAGTCTTTTAAGATTTTAATATCAGCATCCCATCACCATGTAACACAAGAAGGTGTTGCAATAAATTCAAAACTGTGTCCGCTATAAAAGAGTTTCATGAAAATTAGAAAAGTCCATTTGAAAATATTTTGGTCAATAATAAATAGTGGGATGAAGATATATTTGGTGATAATCTATTGGCAAAATTGAATGACTTCACTTTCATATTTTTTTATAAACTGTTTTCTTCAAACACTGTCACAAGATGAGAAACTATTTGACATTATAAAGTATAAGCAGATTGAAGTATGTACAATATAAGTGATTTTATTCAATATAATGTCAATTGTTCCAATGATGAACATGAAAACATTATCCAAGAAACAATGGCAGACATTGGACAATGAAATGACTCAGACCTTCCTTCCATAAAAAGAAACAGGGAATGGCAAAATGAACCAGAAAAGAAACATATTTAAAAATAGTTCAGGATATTTTACTGTCACTGAAGGAGCGATTTGCACAGATTGAAGAAGTTTTATATTTGTAAATACTGTCAAGAAGTTTGAAGTTTCTATGTAAGTCAGTTATGTACCATGCGTGATACATGCTTAGACAATCATTTATCTTTTGATATATGACTGACAAGGTAGATTTTTTTCTTGCAGTAGGTTGCCATTTCTTTCTGGGGTAGACCAGTTGCCATCTATGGCTATAGAACCTGGTCTGTCCTGCTATTTACCCATAGCTGGGGGGACAAGAAGAGGATTCATACCTTTTCCAAGGGTATTAGCACATAAGTAAATATAATGGATTTGACTGGAATTCAAACTTGGCTCTCCAATTCCTCAATCTGAGCCACTATCCATTACTCCAGCATGCTTCCATTTTTCTCTGCAATATATAAATGCTTTGCAACATAGATATATTTGATTACATGTCCTAAGTAAATGAGCTATTTATATAATGACAATGATTTAAAAAGTGCAAGTCAGAAAAGAACATTTCAGAGTTGCTTCATAAACTGAGTTTCTTGTCTAAGTCTGAAATATTTTTTTATAACTATCCTTGTAACTTCATTTTGCAGACAATATTGACTTTATGGTGGGCAATAACATTGAGCTGCAAGACTTGACCAACAAACTCATTAAAAGAGCCAGTATATATGGAATGGAATTCAACACAGAAATCCAAAGTAATAGTGAATAGTACAAGCAACACCAATGTCAGCGTTACCATAGATGGCAAACCACTGGAGGCAGTATCTAGCATCAAATACTTGGGAGCAACCCTTTCAAAAGATGGCACTGGCAATGCAGAAATCTGCACATGGATTGCCACAGCTACAGCAGTAATGGACAGATGGGAAAGGATATGGAAGAGAAACATCAGTTTCCATACCAACTTTAAGCTCTACAAATAGTTGGTTGTATCCATCCTTCTCTACTGGTGTGAGAGTTGGACACTCTTGGTTGAGTCAGGAAAAAGATCCTGGCATTTGAGAACAAATTCTTGAGAAAGCTCCTCTGCATCTCCTACTGTGAGCACAAAACCAATAGCCATATATGGAGCAACGTCAAAAGTCTTGTGAACTGACAGGAATCTCTCCTTGCTACTATTAAGCATCAGAAGATAGCATGGTTTGGTCATTTCATATGGCATAAGGTGGACGTAAATGAGGATGGCAGTGCAAGAGTTGATCAGACAACATGAAACAGTGGACAGACATGACTATGCCAGGACTCCTGAGAGTCACCACAAACAGATCATCCTAGAGGAGGTTGTCTGAAACATTAAGTCACCTTGATGATTGAAGTAGTTAAGGGAATGATGATGATGATGCAAATTAAATTCCAAATGAAAGAAGCTTCTTAACTTTGGACAGAATTTGATCATTTTTAAGAAGCACAATGGTTCAAGAGTGGTTATCTTAACTGGCTTGCATTTCAGAAACAGATACTTGTCGATTTAGAATGAAAAATAAATTACATGACAAAATATTTATGGCATTTGTTATAAAACCAAGACATGGAATTCATATTTGAATGAAGGAAGAGTTTATATCTTATAAAATTTTACTTTTAATGTAGTGCAGTGCTTATTCCCTGTAAATGCATTTACAACAGAAAAGTCTTTTAAATGATTTTATAATAGGAATGCATTGAAAATTAAAGAAAGAAATT